TTTTGATAATATGACACTTTATTTTCTTATATGCACTACTAATTTCCTAATGTTCCTTTCCTTCCAGCAAGGCGCTATCATTAGGCATGCAAATGGTTTAGAAAGCAGGGTGTTTGTGATTTACAGAAAAATGTGTAGTGGTAAGACGAGTTTTTGATGGTAATGGGTGAATCTTCATTTAAAGTGCATGCACACAAAAAATCCCAAACTGGTATCAGAATGAAATAATAGAATGAGTGAGATAACTATAGCAGGTTTATTATCATGTTAAAATGACTTCTTTTTTGACATCACAGTTAAAAAGCACAGAAAGTATGTAATGTAGATGAGGAGAAACTTAGTTCATTGCCTGTTGTATCTAGAAATAATTGTATGTTATAATAATAAATGAATTTAAAATAAGTGTTGTACAATAGAAGCACTAAACCTGGGTTTGTATCTTGCATTATGTTTATACAGACTTTTCCATTCCTGAATCTTAAAAAAATAAATAACAATAATTAAAAAAAAAAAACCAGGCAGCAAATACTTAACTAATTCCCCCTCATGCTGGCACCGATGTATAGCAGGCACAAGCAAAATAGATTATAGCTATCACTCAGTTTTTAAAATTTATTCCTCTTTATAAAAACAAAATAAACGAGGATTTGTCTTGTTATTGAACCATGCATTTGGGGACAAATCTGGAAGCATGAGATGGGCTGGCATTCTGATTACAACTGAATTTTGTGTATGTGGGGTCAGGCTCTAATGGGTTCAAGATAAGGGCTAACAAGTTTCAAATGGAAGTGCTTAAGCAGAGCAGCAGGTATGATGTTTTGGGAAGCCTGAGTCCGATTCATCGAGGTGCAAAGTCATCATCTGCTGTGGAGCAGATTCTGTGTGTCGCTGGGCAGGCCTGTGCTTGGTGGCCTTGGTGGTGGCCCCTGTGCTCCGGCAGCTTTCAAAAAGCAGTGAGATGTGGAAGCCATAAGTCAGAAAAAAATTTGTTAGCTGAATGACATACTTCAATTTTATATGGAGGGTTTTATCTTTATAAAAAGAAACCAAGTGAATGTTGAAATGCTAGGTCAAATTTGAATTGAGCAAAATTAAATTAATTTGGATATTGCTGAGTTTTAAATATGCAGCTTCCAGTGTGTTTTCTTATAATTCTGCATCTTTGTCAAATTAAATGAATTTGTACTGTTTTGGTATTGATGAAACTTTTCTTCCCAAAACAATGTTTGAATAATATTTCCCATTTCTTATCATGAGAACTGTGGAGTAGGAACTTCCCGTGGCTATCAGTAAGAAGCTACTGATTGCACAGAAAATGCAGTGACAGCAACAGGGTGACTAAAATATTATTCTGTATGAAGTCTACAATTATATTAAATTCTGAACTATGATTTAAAATTAAGTAGTGGCTGTTCTAATAAATAATCAATATTCAGTCTCACATAAGCAGAAGACCTGGTGCATTGAGGGTTCATCCTGTGGTATTTTGTGACAGGTTAGTCAGCCCAGTGATAACTTGAACCTGCGTTCACCACCAAGAAAGGTACATTAGTGTTTTTCTGCTCACCTGTTCCTAGAGCTTTGAGCTGTGAATGTTAATTAAGTTGTTGAGTGAAAGACAGTTTTATTAAGAAAAGTTACCCTTGAATAGGAAGCTGCTTTCAGTCTCTTGCCGTGACACTGACAGGTTGTTTATCTGTTCTCAGGTAAATCACAGTCTTGCACATTCTGGAAGTGGCAGCAAGATTTGCTGCTCCAGATGCTCTCATTTACTGGAATCTACTGATTTAAAGCATTTTATTGACTTCCACAGGTTTTTACCCTGCTTGCTTATTGAAAAATAAGTTGTCTTGGGTTGCTTTCTCCTAACATACTAGTTTGGGAGTTTGCTTCAAAAGTGCATCATTTAGTTTCATGCTTTTTGAAGTGTTATAAATGACATAATAAAAATCTCGTAATTTTGTTTTTGATGGGCTGCATCTGCTCTCTGGTATGATTTTGAAAATGCATGTATATGCCTGATTTTCTGTAGTTTGAAACTACAATATCTAGATTCTATGTCCCACCGCCATTCAGTCAAGTAAACAAATGCTGTTTCGTCTTAATAGGCTGGATGTAATCTGTAGTAACTAGGTATATGTTGCTGATATGAGGAGGTAACCGTGGAGGTGGATCTTACCTGTTTTTGCATAGTACTGCCATTTTCTATGAAGACAATCATGATAATCATGATAAAGATTCCTGGCCTTGAACGTCTGTGATAACCATTTAAAAAAATATACCTTCATTTTGCAATTTTTTCCTTGGGGCTTCATGAGACACTGAAAAAATTCCTGAAATCCTGCAGTCTGAAATTCAAAGAATAAGTTTTTGTCTCATTTTGTGCATTTATTACTGGGCTTGATTGCTCTCTTTTTGGGTTTTAACTTTTTTAAATTTCCTACAAATATTCACTAATTATGCTTTAAAAAGACCTTTACAAGTGACAGCGCCAAGAGATGTTTATTCCTTTGTTTGCATGTATTACTCATGGCCCTTTTGCAAAATGAAGAAACTTCCTTTAGGCTTGAGAATGGCTTGGCCCATTTTGCTCCAGGGGCATCTTTTCAAGAAATTGTATGGAAAGATATCTGGCCACCCAATGTACATCAGCAGCATGTTCTGCCAAAATGTGGTGCGACCTATATGCAAACATCCTCCTCTTTATGCAGCAAGCTGTGCTGACAGATGTTGTTCCTCCGTGAAAGGAATCCATCTCCAGATTTTACTGTGGAGTTGTGCAGTTCTGCGTGATGTTTGAATACTGGACTTGCTTTTAACCCTTTTTCATTCCTCATTTTGTGTGATAATGTTCACAGAACTTCTTTTACCTTTGGCTTCTCTAAGCAATGAGACACTAAAATAATTGTATTTGGCTTGCAAAAAGCAAGCCCTCATCTACTGCAGAAACAGGGGAAGTAGTTTCAAAACTTTAATAAACTGGTTATTTTAATTCTGTGGAAAATTGGTGTTATGTAGAGATTGTATTGTTTAGAAGTCGTCTTAGAATTTAAATGTTGGTCTGTAGTTTATACGCTAATTTGTTTTACAGTGTATGGGTAGGGAAGTGGAAGTAAGAACACCTCATGACTTTGACAGGTTATTCCATAAGCCCCTTCACTTCTCTCCTATGTGGTTTCTGGACTAGCATTCAGTTTTGCACCTAATGCACCTTTCAGAACAAGCCCTTCTGCAGCATGTTATTGGAAAAGTTGTGACTAAAGCATAGAAAAACATGGAGTTCTGAGAAATCTCAGTGTCCAGGGAAAAAACCAGCAGCCCCCTTCTCCTGCTCTTCCCTTCTTCTCCTCCCCGATCTGTGAAAGGCAACTCAGCTGCAGAAATTTCCTGCTATGGTTAGAACAAACGTTGTTCAAATTGTTTGCTATCACTAAAATTGATGCCTTTAGATTTTTGTTGCTGGAGTTTACCTGTCAGGTTCAGGGTGGTGTAGTTGACCCCATAATAATACCAATCATACAGCAAGTTTCACAATGGTGAAGTGGCAATCTCAAAGGGCAGGTTACTGGCCTCTCATCCAGAAGCACCATACGTATTTGAAAAAGACCTGAATAGAAGCTTTTAGGCACCCAATTGATAATACAGTCACTCTTGGAAAGACTGTGCTATTTCTGCAATCTAACCTACTGACCCTCTTTTCACCCTTTTCC